AATAATACTACGACATAAATCCATATAAAATCTCTGTCTCTCTCGTTCTTCATATATATATATAAATCTCTCTCATATAGATTTTTTATGGTTACGTATGAGTACGTGTGTGAAAAGAAAAAATCTGCTAGTTTTTTTTATTGACTATGGGATCATTAAATTTTAGCTTTCGACAATTATTTTTATTCAAGATTTTCAATTATGCCAATGTGCTAATATAATGTTACACATGTGTATTCCGATTTTATTTGTATGTGAATATATTTACATATTTAAATATACATATATATATATATATATATATATACATATATATATATACATATATATATATATATATATAAATATATATATATATCAGATGGTAGAGTCTTGGATTTGTAAATACTTTGTAGAGCTTCGAACAAAGAATCCAAAAAGTAATAAAAACGAAAAAGTTTTTTAAAAAAACATTTCTTTATTTATTTACTGTCGACGTTTCGGAAACAGGTACGTTCCATCTTAAGGACATCTGTCACGAAACATGATCTTGATAAGATTTAAACAAATAATATATTTAAGAAAAGTAGAAAATCGTGGATTTTTTATATAATCCACTCATTTATTTTTATCATTTTTTAATGTCTATAATGTTATTTCTTTCACAATTTTATTCATTTTATATAAAAAATGCACCATTTTCTACTTTTCTACTTTTCTTAAATATATTGTTTGTTAAAATCTTATCAAGATCATGTTTCTTGGCAGATGCCCTGAAGATGGAGCGTACCTAGTTCCGAAACGTCGACAGTAAATAAATAAAGAAATGATTTTTTAAAAAAACTTTTTGTTTTATATTACATTTTAAATTTTTTGTTTGAAGCTCTACAAAATACACACATATATATGGTTGGGCGAGACACAATGGTCTAATTTGACATCGCAACACATAAAACGTATCAAACTATTTTCAGTGAAATTTCCAGTTATTTTCTTATAAAAGAAATGTGTTTTTTGTGGAAAATATCTTTAATCTTCTCTATATATATAAAAATAAGTCGGGTTTTCCTTCCTGACGAAATAACTCCAGAACGCACGAACCGATTTCGACAATTTTGCATTTGTTGGAAAGGTCTAGGGCTCCGCAAGGTTTATAGTTAAGGAAATTAGTGGTACATGGCATCGTGCCCTAATGCAAATTGCTGGAACTTCACACACCGTAATTAAAAATTCGAGTAACGACATTAGTGAGAATTATCAGAATTATGCTTGGTTAAGTCAACGAGCAATTCTTGCCGCAAAGAATAATGATGTACGCGCACTGAATTTCACCATTCAATCAAAAATTGCTGGCGATTTGGTGACATACCAATGATTCTGACTGGTCTTCCGTTTGACTTCAAACGATTGCAATTTCCAGTTCGCCTTGCGTTCGCAATAACAAGTCGCAAGGCCAATCGCTTAGTGTTTGCGGGATAAATTTCAAATATAATATTTAGAAAATCATTGTTTTTCACATGGGCAGTTATACGTTACCTGTTCACGAGTTGGAAAACCATCCGCTTTGTTTGTGTTAACGTCAGACCAAAAAACAAAAAATGTGGTTTACCAAAGAGCACTTCAATGAAACGGATAATTTGCGGATTCACTTTCATTTACTTAGAGAAGTTCAACTAAAAAACACTTCATTTTTGTAATCAAAATAAATTCATTACTGTTGTATAATAAAATCAAATTTTTCCTTTTCAAATATAAAACAAACAAAAAATTTCTTCATTCTCACGAAACCATCTGGTGGCGAAACGGAGTTTGTCGGGTTTGCTAGTTTCTTATAAAAGAAATGTGTACTATTTTTCTGAAATTTGTCATCTGTTCCTTTTACCCCATAGACTGGGTAAAATTTTGCAAGGGACAAACAAATCCAATGTTTTTAATTATAATTGTAAAGGAATTTTACGAAATACTAGCTACATTATTCAACCAATAAAATTTTTTAATTTCATTGGTATATTTTTACAAAGATGACACTCATCATTTAACCCTGACCAAATAAAATACTTTTGTTGTATATTTATCTCCCGATAGCATCATCGTCTTTTTCCCTCTACTTACAAATATTGTTGTTAAAAAATTATTAACTTTACTTGTTTTTGAAATATCGGTGGTAGACTTTTTTACCCACAGACCATTAAGCCTCGCTTTAACCTATACTTCTCCAATCAATTTTCTTCGGTCTCTAATGTGAGATATTTAGCATTTTGCGTTTACAAAGTTTATTACAAATCTTAATCAATTCGATTTATCGTCTATAACGAATGAAAATAGAAAGCGTTTATATTATTTTCCAATAAAATTTTGGAACAATGCATATCCCTCTTATGTATTTAAATAATCTCCAACTTCTTGTTTTTTTACGTGTATAATGAACTGTAAACACATTTTCCAAATAAAAAAAAAAGATTTTTGATCTTTTAAAAATAAAACCTAATTTTGCATTTACCAAAATTAATAAACTATTGTTTTCAAGTCTTAATTTATTCTCGGCGTAAAAAAACGAAATATAATTTTGTGTTAATCAACAACAACATTATACAGGCAAAAACTAATGTTAAAAATTTACATGTATACAATTAAAATATTTATAAAATTATCAACCATAAATAATGGATAACATAAAAATTAGACATAGAATGTTTCATATTTTTTACATTGATTTTAAGCTGGTTTTAAAAAATTCATCAGCATATTTTTTGATTACACATTATTTTTAATTTAGTTTTTTAGTGATAATTTTAAATTATTTATATATATGCGTATAGTATACTGTACCTTTTATGCTCGAAGATATAAATTTAGAGCACGTTTTAAGTAAAAGTCTTGTTGAACAGTTTTCGAATAGATAATAGGCATTTGTTAATGTTCTCGTATATATTCACAATGAACATATACAGTAAGTAATAAACATAAACTTATATACATATATGTTCATACTTAATAGTTATCAATGCCTTAGTGAATATTAATTTAAGACTGTATTTTGTAATTGAATGCTGATAGTAGACTTCATTTAATTATAATACATATAAATTATTCAATAGTAAGTTCATTACAAATAAACCTAACTAATATTAAGAACTTCTATTACAAATAATTAACCATGGTATTTAATAATGTTTACGTTATTTTAAATTTCGTTGCGTTTGTTTAAAAAAAAAACAATTTAAAATTTTGAAATATTGTTTAATTTAATACTTAGAATATAGTTCAATTTTATGTGGTCTATTCACGTTATAAAGCTATTAAATACTCTGAGAGTTCCAGAACAAGGGCCCATTATCCGGCAAAAAGATATTAACATACCGTTGTTATGGCAACGCCACGTTATGCTTTATTCTTGGTACTAAAAAGAGTCCAAACGCTATACTTTTGTCGATAGGTCC